TATTGGTACATGCTGATCTACTTTGTTCATTTTAACTATGGTAGATGATTTCATTGTACTTATAAAACAGCTTATTTTCCTGTTTCCCTGCTGAGAGCAGTTAGGCTGCTCCTCATTTTTCTATTATATACCAAGGTGCAATGAATATCCTTGGACATGTATCCTTTTGCATGTGGGTATGACTTTCTCTAGGATGTGTAGAAAACACTGTGGGTGCCCTGCCCTGATTCCTTTGACCTGCAAGTGCTGTAAGAGTTAGCTGCCAAGAGCTCATAGCTGCTCCCTTCTTGGGAACGTCCTCACCCAACAAGCTATACAACACCCCCCACTTTCCCGCAACGGGGCAGCCTATAGGCAATCAGTGACTGACACGGGGTACAAGTCTGACCTCCTTGCTTTAAGGCAGATCCACTCTGTGGTATTATTAATGCTCCAGAGTTCCCTGTGGCATCAGATTGAAGATAATCTCCAGTGAGAACATACCGTTGCCTAGCATTTCCTCCCACCCTCTCTGCCTTCCCCCGCCTCTTTCACCTGGGAGTTCTCCCTCGATAAATCACCTGCACAAGAACCTGAGGCACTGCTTCGGGAACCTAGCCTGAGCACACACTAAGGTGGAGCTGTTTGGTCTTAGATTTGCTCATCTTAAAATTTACTGTTTCCAAATTGCTCTCCAAAGTAGTTGCACCAATTTACATTCCCACTAGTGGTTTACAAACATTCCTATTCCCCCAACACCTTCATCAATACCAGCATTAGAGACGAAGTTTGCTAGTCAAATCAGTGCGATACCTATCTCGTTATTGTTAACTTGCGTTTCCATGTTTACCAGTGATGTTCAGAATCTTATTTATGTCTTTATTGGCCATCCACATTTCTTTCTCTGTTATTTGTCTGTTCATATCTTTTTCCCACTTTCTTATGTTTCTAAGTGTTTTGGTAAATTGATTGTTTGAAGTTAAAAAATTTATTTTGGAAGCTAATTCTCTCTTGGTTGATTATACAGCTTGCAAATATTCTCCCAGCCATGGCTCTAACAAGTCTATTTTTGTGTGTATGTCATGGAAAAGTTCTCAATTTTATTGAAATAAGGTTTCTTAGTGTCTTCCTTTATCATTTGTGCTTTTATTTTCTGCTCTAAGGTCATAAAGTTATCTTCCTGGGTTTTTTTTTTTAAGTCTCATTTTTTTCTTTTAAAAGTTTTATAGTCTGCTTTTTACATTTAAACTTTAATCAGCCTGGAATTTATTTTGTGAACAGTACCAGCAGGGATCTAATTTTATCTTTTTCTATGTGGGTATTTAATTGTCCTGATGTCACCCATTAACCAGACTATCCTTTACCCCTGTCATGTTTCGAACTCTCGAATACATTTGGATCCGTCCATAGGCATTATTGGTCTCTGTTCTTTTTCTCTGTTTCTGTATTCCCGGAACCAAATAAAACTATCTCAATTAGTGGAGCTTCATAGTAATTATCGACACCTGGTAGGGTGAGGCTCCCCTTCTCTTCCTCCTCTTCTTCAAAATTGTCTTGGCTCTGGGGCGCCTGGGTGGCGCAGTCGGTTGGGCGGCCGACTTCAGCTCAGGTCACGATCTCGCGGTCCGTGGGTTCGAGCCCCGCGTCGGGCTCTGGGCTGACGGCTCGGAGCCTGGAGCCTGCTTCCGATTCTGTGTCTCCCTCTCTCTCTGCCCCTCCCCCGTTCATGCTCTGTCTCTCTCTGTCCCAAAAATAAATAAAAAACGTTGAAAAAAAAATAAAAAAAAAATTGTAGTGGCTCTTCTAGGTTATTATTCCATATACATTTGGGGATGACCTTGTCAAGCTGCAGAGAAAGCCCCTTGTGAAGTTTATTGGAAACAAAATGTATAGATTAAACTGGAAGGGACTAGCTGATTTCATGACAGCGAGACTTCCTATGCATGAACCCTGTTTGTTTTTTCTGTGGCTGTTATTCTTTCTTCCTCTTCTCTGCATCCATACTCACACAGGGGAAATGAACCTCCAAACCCTTCTCATCCTTCAATGCCCAGCTGAATGCTTCCTCCTTCAAGAAGCCCTTGGTGACAATCTTGGCCCTCCAGGCTTTCTCTCCTCTGACCTCCTCCAACCCTTCTGCTTGCCCCCTTTCCCGGACACTTAGCATAGGGTCTGCCTTCACCTTTGTATCCCCCAGTGGCACCCAGCACATAGTAGGTGCTCCATAGGCTCTGATGATTAGCCCTTAGGGAAGGAAGTGTGTGTTAACAGGTTCTTCCTCATAGGAAATGGCTGGTCCTGGGGCAGCAGGGTCGGGGAGGCCCGGAACAGAGTTTATTTGTAGAGTTTCAGGAAAAACACACCTGGCTAGAAATCAGATGGGTCTAGTTTTACACGGTTGTTCTGCCAGTTGGGACACTGGCCTCTCTGAGCATGCTGTGCCCAACTGTAAGATGGAGACAATACTACCAACCTCACAGGGCTGCTGTGATTATTAGTGAGATAACATAGGAAACACAGCAAACGTGTTTTCTCCCCAGTCCTACGTTTCCAATTCGAGGGAGGTGCAGGAATGAAGATCTTCCTTCAGCTTGAGGGCTTGCTCATCAATAGGACCCCCAGGGGCATCTTCCCCAAATGGACATAGCTGGGCTCTGCTCTGCCTCAGACACCACTGTCCTGGCTCTGCTGCTGTCCCCTCTTTCCTGGATCAGAGGTGGGTCCTCAGCCCCTGATGTAACTAAAGCAGATGTTTTCATCCTATTGTCCCTTCCCTGCCCTGTGGCACCCAGGTCTCTCAAGGGACCCCTTGGTCCCAAAGAAGTCGTTCCCATGAAATGTTCCTGCCTTATGTGTTCCTCCTCCAGAGAATGTCTTTCTTGCACAAAAGAGCTTGAGGCAAGGGCAATGCCTGCCTGCAAGGGATTGTGCTCCAGTGTTAAGCACCATCTGCACATCTTGGGAGGGAGAATTTGGGGCCTGTAGGGGTGCTTCCTAGCAGAGCATGGGCTTTGGAGTTGGACAAGCCAGGGTTCCGACTCAGCTCCCCACAAACTTGACTTTATAGGCAAGTTGACTTCTGTAAGGCTCAGTCTCCCTATATCTAAAATGGGTGCATGAATCCTACCTCCCAAAATAGGTAAGACCAGAACAGAAAAAAACGTATGGAGTGCATACACTAGGTGCATAGCGTAGGCTGCTCTTCACCAGGTGACGTCAAGGTTGAAAGGACGGAAAAAAATGGGGGACACAGGCAAAGATGAGGCAGAATTTATTCTCATTGTGGGTACGTTCAAGACTCAGGATGAAGACCACAGAGAAGCAGATCCTGGGACCCCAAGGCTACCTCACGCTCGGGGCAGGGGCCACACTTTTGCAAGTGCCAGGCTCACTGTGTCCCCCTCGACGGTGAGGATCAGAGCCCAGGACCTGGGTGAGAGTGGGCTGGGGGTGGGAGGAAGACAGGGTCCTCCCCGGATCGTGTTCTGACCATGTTTCCGACTTCCATAGGAAGAAAGAACAGCTCGGCTATATAGTAATATAATATATAGAGGTGCAGAGAGCTGGCCGCGGCACCTAGGCGGGGCTGAGACTCCCCAAATTATTGCAGGAGGGAGGGGGGACTCAGTGCTGGTGTCTCTGCGGAACAGCTGTGCTGGCTAGGGGGAGGGCTGGGCTGGGGGTGGGGAGCTGGGTTTGCCCCTCCCTCTGGGGCCGGCAGGGGGCCCAAGGCATCCTGCCTGGTGGGGTTCCTTGGGCCCTGCCTGCCAAGCTTCCCCTGGGATGGTGCTTTCTCACCCTGGGTGCTTTTTATGTGCTTTGAAGACCATTTTTGCATTGTCAGGAGTGAGGAAAAAATATTCTGACATGGTAGAAAAAAGATATTTACATACCCTGGTGGGCCGTAAAAGGGAGGGTCAGTTTGGGGATGGGGGAGCTCCTGAAGCCCCCTCTTACCCACGGCTGTCAGTGTGAGATGGGGGGGTGGGGGGGTAGAGCGCTGGGCTGGGAGTCAGGTGGCCTCAGCTCTGAAACTTGGTTGCTGTGTGACCTTGGACAAGGCACAACCCCCCTCTAGGCCTTGGTCTCCCCAGGTGGTACGAGAGGGGTGGACAGGGGGCTGAAAAGCTGGGATCTTATGGCCCCTGATCCTAGGATGGGGACACAGACCAGGGCCGGGCAGTGAGAGGTTGGCAGAGGGTCTTCCAAGTGAGGAGCCCTGGGCCAGGGAGGGGCATCAGAGCCCAGAGGGAAGTTCATGGCCCCTGGCCCCTGACCAGGCAGCCAAGCCCAGCTGAGGGCACCTGGCATACTCTGCAGTGATGCCTACACGGTAGGTGGCCAGAGGGGCTGGCCGGGAACCCTGTTTTCCTGTCGAAGCAGCGGTGGGAGCCAGGTGGAGGCTGCAGGCGGCCCCTCACCAGCTAGAGGGAGGGCGCAGACCTGAGATACAGCCGGGAGGGGGCTCACCCGGGCGGAGACAAGGGTGGGCCTCGTGCTGGTGCAGTTCCAAAGCGGTCCCTACTCCCTGCCTCCAGGTGTAGGGGGAGGTGGGCATGGGCCTCTCCCTCATCCCTGTGGGTGCTGGGGCCTGGGTCCATGCTCAGTGGGCAGTGTCACACGGGTCACAGGCCCGTGACACATGTCCTCATTCATGACGTGCCATCCATGGTCACACACGTATGCCCCCCACCAAATTGGATAAGCACGCACACCACAGGCACACGTCCGTGCTTGGATCTGATGGGTGGACACACACACATGATCACAAATGTTCACAAGGGCTCCCAGGACCTCATGAAAACAACCCCTACAGCATGTGAACACACACACACACACACACACACACACTCTCTCTCTCTCAGAGGCAAGTGAGTGATGTCTCTGTTAGGCTCAGTGTCACTGAGGCCTTAGCTGGGGACAGATGTCCCAGCCACGCTGGGCACCAAATGCCGCTTCCCAGGCAGCCTGACTCCGGCTAACACCAGGTCCTGGGGCGGAGCTCTTGGCCTCCCTGGCACCTGAGAGGAGGGACCAGAGGCTGGGAGCTGCCCGACCTCCGGCCAACCCTGCAAGTCCTCTGATGGCCGACATGACCCGGCACAAGTCCTCTGGTGGCCGACATGACTTGGGGCCACTTTTAGTTGCTGCCCGGGCCCCACCAGCCTCGGGTCAGAGGTGCCGACGGGGCCCCTGGGTGCTGGTCAGCTGGGCCCTCATGGTCTGGATGCTGCCCAGGATCTTCTTCTGGTGGCCCATGAGGGTGATGCCCAGGGCACGCACGTCCCTGTGAAGGAAGGGCGGTGCTGACCGGGTTGGCCTGGGAGGCCAGGTCCCCCTTCCCTGGAGCTGCCAGCCTGCCTCTGGTCTCCTGCCCTCTCCCCCTGTCCCCACCCCCACGGGCACCACCACCCGGCCCCTCCACTCACTGAGCGTTCATACGCAGCACCATGCCCAGGGAGGAGTAACCGCCGGCAGCAAAGTGGTCCCGGTAGCGGCCCATGCGGATGGAGTCCAGCCAGTCCCCGACGGTGAGGCCCCCGCCGCCGCCCCCGCCCCCACGGAGGTCAAAGCAGCTCTGGGCAAAGGCAGGGGGCGGGCACCTGAGGCACAGGGGTCCTTGGTAAGTGGCCTGCCAGGGCCTCTGCCTCCCTCAGGGACCCTCGCACTAGCCGCCCTCGGCCTCCATCCAGGCTCAGCAGTAGGCAAAGGGTCTGAGAAGCTCGCCCCCAGGCTGCAAGGAGAGGGCTGAGGAAGGCCCAGACAGGGCAGGGGTCAGAGGCCCAGGAAGCTCAGAGGTCAAGGGTTCAGGCAGGACAGCAGTCAGGGGCCCAGGCAGGACAGGGGTCAAGGGCCCAGGCAGAATAGCCGTCAGGTAAGGCAGGGATCAGGGGTCCAGACTTGACAGGGGTCAGGAGCCTAAGCAGCGCAGGGGTTTGAGGCCCAGGTTGGGTGAGGTCCAGATGCCAGGGCTTACACTAAGTCTGAGCCTTATCTCAGGAAATACTGGGAGGGCAGCTGGGCTTGGGCAGAGCTGGGGTGGGCACCAGGCACCTGTTGACAGTGGCCGTGGCCCTGAGACTCTCAGGGCTCCGGATGAGGGCATCGAGGACACTGACAATCTGGGAAAAGCGAGGCCGCTGGGCCCTGTCCTTGTGCCAGCAATCGAGCATGAGCTGGTGCAGGGCGCGCGGGCAGCCCATGGGCGCAGGCAGGCGGTACCCCTCCTCCACGGAGCTGATGACCTGGGGTGGGGGCAAGCACAGTGCTGGGCTGGAGGCCGTCCCTCCCTCCAAGGCCCCCAACGGCCCCTGCCCAGCCAGCGTCCCGCACTCACGTCACGGTTTGTCATGTTCCAGTAGGGCCTCTCCCCATAGGCCAGCACCTCCCACATGACCACACCGAAACTCCACACATCGCTGGCCGAGGAGAAGGTCCGGAAGGCGATGGCTTCGGGTGCCGTCCAGCGGATCGGGATCTTGCCTCCCTGCAAGGCACACAGGAGTGCTGAGGGCCTCTCCCCAACCCGCAGTGGGGAGCTAAGCACTGGGTCCAGGCTGGGAAACTGGCAGTCCAGGAGGGGAGACACGGCCTCCACCTTCCTAGAGCACCTGTTCTGGTCCGGGAGACCTGCACACACAGCTGTCGTGAAGACTGAGCGAAGGAAGTGTGTGGCGGGCCTGGAACATAGTAGGTGCTCAGTAAGTATCAGTCAACAGGCTGATGCCTAAGCAAGAGACCAAGCCCACGGAATGTGGCTTGCTCATCACCCTAACTGCTCTTCCTTTCTTTCCTTCTTCTTGGGTTGGGTTTTTTGGGTTTGGGGTTTTAGTGTGTTTTTTGTTTTTGTTTTTTTGTTTTGTTTGTTTTTGTCACAAAATCCTTTCTCTAAGTGAAACTTCATTAGGACGCTCAGTGGGTGAGACCTAAGGGAAGGTTCTCGCTGAGGCAGGGTGGGGGGCCTGGGTCCCTGCCCACTCAGCCTCCTGCCTTGAAGGCGGCCCCCAGGGTACTTCTTGAGAAACCCACAGCTCTATGGAACACGTTCTGAAAACGCTAGTTTCTAGCCAATCCTTGCAGACAGCTCTGGAGTGGATTTGTGATTCAGGGAGACGCCACCCCTCCCCAAATCTCCCAGAGAGTGAGTGACGACGGGGAGACCAGCCCTGGTGTCTGCCCAGGCCACCCAGGGGTACAGAAAGGGTGGGAATGGCGGCTCGCATTTCCCAGAGGGGGAAACAGCTGCAGAGAAGAGGTAGGATGTGCCCCAGATTGAAGGCAACCCTGACACTTCCAACTTCACTTGACTACGTGTGAGGAGACCCCACCCCCACCCCCTGCCACCTTGCCCCTCCCCGGGCCTCCTGGGAAGGGGTGTGGACTGCGCACCGTGGTGGTGTAGGCCGCGTCGGGGTCGTCCTCCAGCACCCGGGAGAGCCCGAAGTCAGACACCTTGCAGACCAGGTTGCTGTCAACCAGCACGTTGCGGGCGGCCAGGTCTCGGTGGATGTAGCCCAGGTCTGAGAGGTAGAGCATGCCGGCACCCACACCTCTGAGCATGCCCACCAGCTGCATGATGGTGAACTGCCCATCGTGAGTCTGTAGGGGGAAACGGCTGGGCTTCAGGAAGGCTCTGGGCAGTTTGCGAAGTATAGGTGGGGCTCTGATGACTTCCCACCCATTTTGCAGAAGGAGAAACAGAGGCCCAGAGAGGTTAAGCCCTGAGCCTGAACGCTCAGCAAATAAATGGTAGGGTGGGGGCTGGGAGTCTAGCGATTTCCACCGCACCCACCATGCCTTCCAGCTGGCTGGAGCCCTGGGTCCCCGCAGAGGCACCCCTCTGAGCCTGTGTGCAGGGCAGAGGACCCGTGCGGCAGAGGGACCTTCATGAGATGGGGCCCTGAAAGGTAATTTGATTGGCTGACCCTTAAGACCCCTCCCCATGCCTCACTCCCCTTCCCCAGGTCCACTGGGTCCAAGTTCCTGAGGGTGTTTGGAGGCCTCACATGATCTCCCAACACCCAGACTGAACTTCCCTCCCCCCAGCCCATGTGGAAGGACAGGTGGGGCACGCACCCTCAGGAAGGCATCCAGGGAGCCGTTCTCCATGTACTCAGTCACGATCATTGCCAGGCGGCCTGGGGAGGGACAGAGGCAGGGGTGGCTCTTGGTGGGGGGATCACACCTGCTGATCGGAGACCCCAGGAACATGCCCCCTCTGAGAGCTGCCAGGAGGTGGGCCAGCACTTGACAGCTTCAGAAAGTCTAGGGTTCCCCCTGGGGTCCCGGACTCTGGGCCCCCTCCCAACCAAGTCATCCAGGGACCTGAACCAGGGGGACGGGGCAGGGCAGGGGCAGAGCACGGCAGTCCAGGGATGGACCCAGACTCCTGGTCCTGGGCAGGAGGGGCCCTTCAGGGTGAGGCTGGCCTCGCCTGGCACCTACCACGGGTGACGACACCTTCAAGGCGGATGATATTGGGGTGGTCAAACTGACCCATGATGGATGCCTCGCTCAGAAAGTCCCGCCGCTGTCTCTCTGTGTAGCCGGCTTTGAGGGCCTTGATGGCCACAGGCACGTCCTGCTGCCCTGGCACCCGCAGCCGCCCGTAGCAGACTTCTCCCGACTCTCCTGTGGATCCCGAGCAGGGCAGGCAGGGGAGGGCTATGGGACCCTCCTCTCCACACCTGGTCCCTGGCACGCCCCCTGCCCCACATGTCTGCCGTACGGGCTCCTTGGTTCCCCTCTCCCTCTGCCCTGGGTGCCCCTGCCCCGGGCACCCCTCTGTGCTGTCCCCACCTTCACAACCCCCGAGGCTCACCAGAGCCGATAATTTTCTCGATGTGGATCCTGGAGGCTTCAATCTCTCTGGTGAAACCGCGGCCCGCCCGGCCTGGCTCCTCATAGTTATGGGGTTCTGCATAGAACTGGGGCTCTGGGATCTTCCCTGGGGGATGGTGCAGGGGCAGGAAGACAGGTGGGGGTGCTGAGGGACCAGGAAAGAAGGGCCATCAGGAGGGTGCAGGAGACTTTCTTTCGCAGCGTTCTATGGGCCTGGGAGAGGTCTGGGGTGGGGGCTGGAGAGTAAGGAGCATCCCTGGGTATCTCAGGATGTGGCGGCAAACAGTAGGTGCCTAATACGTGCTTACCGAGCGATAACAGGGTCTCTGTGGAGGAGCTATGGGGTCTCTAGAGGACACTGGGGTTTCCAGTGAGTTCTGACTATACCTGCTGTTAGGTTTTCTGGGGTCACTGTAGAGTCTTTAAGGTCTTTCTAAATCGCTCTGGGGTAGAAACCTAGCAAAAATGTTTTCGTCACAAAGGCCAATTTTGATTCACAGTAGTTCTCTAGAAGACTGTGTTAAGGAGGATTCTGATGTTGCATTCAGCTCAGTGAGAATCAGTACCATAAGTAATAATGTCTACCATGGGCACAGAAGTGCAGTATGGAGGTAGGCTTTCTCCTAACTATCCTTGTTTTCTGGGGCCTCTGCAGGGTCCTGAGAAAGCTCTCAATAGCACAGGTTCTTATCCAAGAGCCTATGATGCCCCCCTGCCCCCCACCAGTGTGCAGAATTGTGCGTGAGAGCACAAACTTGTGCGTTTCCCTGGGCGGAAGGTTTCTAGCCTTCTCAGCGGGGTCTGCAAACCCAATAAAGGGAAGCAGCACCTGAGGCCTCAGGTCTCTACGACCTCGCTGTCTTTCCCTGGGGCTCTGCTCTTCCCTGTGGGCCCTTGCTCCTTCCCACCCGTGCCCTCCCCGGGCCGGTGCTGGTTCCCACTGTGACCCCACGTCCCTGGGTCCCCCGCACTCACCCTGCCCGTTCTGATACTGCATCTTCTCGTCAGAGTCCTGGAAGGCCTTGCTGTAGCCACAGTGCCTGTGGAGGACGGCCCTAGCCTCAGCCCTGACCCCGTGCAGGGCCAGAACGCCTCCCTTCCAGCTCCTTCCCCTTCGGGGTCAGCCCCTGCAGAGGGGAGTCCCTGCCCTCCGGCTCTCGACCCGGCTGGACCGTGACATCTTTGACAATTACAACTTGCGAAGTCAAGCGCACTCGGCCCGCACAGCAGTCTATGCATTATCAGCCCCGTTTTACGCGAAACCACCCTTGGTGGGGTGGCCGGGAGGCGAGGCCTCGGGTGTCTACCACACTGTGTGACCTTGGCAAGCCCCCTCCCTCCCCTGGGCCTGTGTCTCCAGGAAAGAGGACGATGCTTCCAATCCTCACTGCCTGTGACAGGAAGTACACAAGCGTCCTCATCGCTACCTCCCTCTGCGATGGAGTCAGAGAGAGAACAACGGCTTCATTTTTGGCGGATCTGGGGTCCCGTCCCAGCTCTGACATCTACTTGGTGGAAGAGGCCTAACGTCCCTGGTCCCCAACTAGC